TTTTTGTACTTTTTTTACGGCTTCAAAATTATCCTACAATAATTATCTTACAAACCATCGTAGATAAGTTGTCATTACGTAAAAGCCTGTTGCTCCTATTTAAAACATAAACGATTTGTTCATTACTACCTGCTGCGTTTCATTCGATGAGTAAGACAGCCTAGACTTTTCCTACCCTCACCTCTCCCTCTTCGATCATCTAGGTTGGCAACGATGTCCATGAGTGACGGTGACTACCTTTTATCAGGTAGGCTGTCTGCTCGTTTACCGACTTAGAAATAAAAATAAATGAAAATGTATCTCATAATATCGGAAAAAGCTTTAATATTAAGTCTTTGTTACGTGTGCTAAAAACAGACACTGTTAATTTTCTTATTAATTATATAACTCGTTAATGCAACATTGTAGATACAGTTCAACATTTCTACTCACATTTGTGTCACGATATTCATTATTTGTTTGAAAAAGTGGTGACAATTTAAACACGTGAAGAAGAAGTTAAAAAAACGATTTCATAATTATAAATAAATTTTGTAATGTCTCAGTTCTTTGCACATATTAAAATCTAAACCAACGTCAAGACTAAATAATCTAAATCATACTAGTTAATTTTGCTTAAAAATGTTCTGAATTTTACATTCTAATTTTTAACATATAAAAAAGCACTTGATTTTCATTTATCGGAAAAATTTGTGATAACAATTTTGATACTGAACATTATATGTACAATGTATGTTTGCTCGTTAAAAATATTTTTCAATATCTTCGCTCTTCCATTATAAGTGTAATAAATCTTGACTTTGCTAGTGGAAAATACATTGTAGTGAAATTTAAGAGCTACTTTTTTTGTTTTAAAGTATTGTCATTTTGAACTTTGTTAATATATGTGTTATGTATATTGTAAATATATAACAAAAGTACATTGAACTATGTCATTTTACAAACACGAAATTCTCTGACAGATGAATATTTAAGTTACTTAAAAAAAAAGAAATCATATCTAAAGTAAAATTACAAGTAAAAGATTTAATATAGCACATAATACTGAGGCTGTAACTAACAATAAAGATTTGAATTTTCTTGTTTCATTTAAGGAAACTTATATAACATACCACTATACAAAAAAATATTGTAATTCATCATTACTCATTGTATTATAATTCCTATTAAAATGATTAAAAATCTACACAAGGCTCCAGAACCTATTTGAGTTTAATAATAAGAAGGATAATAATGATGTGCTCCGATAATAAATTTTATGTATTCTATGGATATCGTTAACATGCAGATAGTCAAATGCTTGTCATATGTATATATTATTAATTAACATGAGTACTTTTTTATTGTGTTTAAACAAACAACCGAATTATATTTTCTAATTCACAAATCACCATAGAACCATGGAACCATAGAATAAATTTTTCATCACAAAATTAAAACCACAATAATAAAATGTTTCCAGCTTGAATGACGAAATATACTGAAAAAAATTAATTGTATTTTTTCATTATACCAACTAGGCAATCTTCTTTAACTAACTCGAGGTACATTATAACTGGAAAACAGTGATTGTAGCTTAAAAGACGCCAACAGTTAAAAATGTGTTCGAGAAATTTAATGTTGTTTCCGTAATAAATGTAAAACGAACGTTGATGAACTTTGATCTTAACTTATTGATCGATCGCCGATCTCTGTACACTAGATAAGCACGTCTGTACACTCATATTGGAATAAGTTACCTGAATTTTCGTTGGTTTGAGTAACTCTCGCTGACGCATGGAGAATTTTGCAATGTTTTCAATGTTAACAGACGTCTATCGATTATGCTTCCAATATTTTTTTAAACTAACAAAATTTAACAATTGAAATAGAAAATTGAACTAGAATAATTTTATATTCATAGTCAATAATTTATTGAACATATTTTGCTTATCTTTCTGTGTTCTCAATGGAAAGATAGGAACTACACTATATTCATGGCTTATTAGTAATATGTATATCACACATATACTACATTATTTACATATATATAGAACCATTTGAAAATATGAAAATATTATCCGAAATTCACTCTCACATACATATGTAGGTATATATATGTTATTTTACTTTCATAAATGTATATCACTTAGTTTGAAAATAATTAAATTACTCAGTATCCTACTGTTCTTATTGAATTCTAAGATAGGTCTTAAATAACCAAAGTTCTAAAAGAAAAGTTAATATCTCTAAGGAGCGTTCGGCAAATACGTCCTTTACGATGCCAATCTTTGGTCCGATCTCTGCAGATCCCGGCTTATGTTCCAAGTCCTCGAGCGTGAACTTTAGATGAAAAAGATTTTATAATAATTCCCCTTTATTATTAGCTTCTTTAAGCTTTTACATGTGCTTATTTATCATAGCAACAAGATTGCAAATAAGATTAAAGAATAAATAAATATTATAAGAACATTTATTAATGAAAAAAAGAATAAAGTATTATTTTATTGCATATATATAACATAATTCACTGTGATTTTTATTGCGGGAATATTTTTAATAAAATCTGTATAAGTTGTCTCACTTCATTTAATATTCATTACATATCTTAATTTAAGCTTACATATATACATAATTATATTAAAGAAAAACATCCTATTCGTATTCCTATTCCATCTAACGTATTACAAATATTTTCAATGATTTCTACGGAACATTTTAAAATTGTTCAAAACTTTCCTGCCTCGACATAATTGGAAATAAGTAGCATACAGTACTGTCGTATTTTAATATATTATTTGAATAGATTATTTCCATAGAAGCAAATTAAACTGAAATAATGTGTTTTTTTCCTATTGTACATAAGAAGCTATTGTGATGTATGATTGTACATAAGAAAGAAAAATAACTTGACTTATAATCATACAATTGTATACGTAATACAATTTGAATTATAGTAAAAACGAATAATCTTTACAACTACAAGTTTTGACCCATATTAATATTTCAATTCTAGAGTATTATCTTATCCATATTTCCTTTTATATTTATCGTATCATATCATATCATTATTATAATTGTATGTATTTGAGTGCCTTACACTGTTTGTAAGAAACAAATCAATTATGCAAATATTTATCAAGTAACTACTAACTTCATTATAATATTCAGTGACATGTTTTAATAAAATCCTTATATTAAAATTATTATTGTTTAGCATCTCTTTAGATTGTCTTGAATTAGTTTCGATTCGATGAACATGGTCCAAACAAAATTAACATAGAAAATGTTCTTTCATTCGTCTAATAATTTTATGACTAGTAAACAAGATTAGTGTTATGTAGGTGTTAAAACTGTCAAGAACTGTAGTTTTTCTGGAAGAGGAGCTCAATAAAAAAAAAAACTATACAGGCTTACATAAACGTATATTATAATAATACGTACATTGTAATACAAAAAGTTTGGTTTGACGACAAGTATATAATATTTTTATTATAGTACAGGACATAAATTAGTTCTCACGGTAAGGAAAGAATAAATAGAAGGCAGTTATGTCACACGTTTTCTTATATTTTATCCATACAAGGTTACTGAACCGTCGAATCTTATAGCGAATATGACTAGGGGGTCATGGAAATTTAATTTATATTTGTCTCATTATTGATTTTAAATAATACAATTGGTCAAAATAATCGTAAATATACCTAGTAATGAGTGTGCCATCACTTATTGACATGTAAGACCAAGGTTAATTAAGTTTGATGAGATTGAGACAGAAATCATAAGAAAATAGATTTCTCACAGTAATTCAAGACCTTTCCTCTTACTACACAATTTCTACATCTTTAAGTCTTTTAACAGTAATATTCTCTTTGTCAGATGGATGTTATTGCTCCAGTAGAGCTGACTGAAATACGACCAGCTCGACTTAGATTAAAAACCATTTCACAATAACGGAAACAATATAAAATAAATTGCATATTTTTTATTAAAAATATATGTGCAATGTTCATATAGGAATACATCCAATAAAACTCGATAGCAACAAATTGAATTATTATAAGAATTCACGACCTATTTAATATTTACAAACGTTTCAACAATTTTCCCAGTTTTGCGTTCGCTCAATTTAAAACAACAATACATTGAAATAATACCAAAAAAAAAAAGGAAAACGTAGAATGAACTTCACAAATATATTCAGAGAATATGCATATTTATATAATATTTTTAGGTAAAACATTTAAAGATTATAATTTTATATCGCAGAGCTAAAATAAAAAAAACATTGTTTATTTATTACATAAACTTTAAGTATTTTATTGAGTTATAACTGCTATATTTACAGAACGTGATCTTGCTTTTTTAAAGTAATTTTCTTTTATATATAATCTTTGTAAGTACAATGAGATCATGTTGGAAATTACAGAAATAATCAGTTGAATGCATGACATGTTGATTGTCTTCGGTATTAAAGCAATATTAAATAAAAAAAAAATTGTCTATTTTAAATTTTCAACCCAAAAAAGTGGGGTATTTCAAGTCTGACATCGATATCGGTCTCTGGCCCCGTAGCTCTCAATCGGTTCCACTAATTAACATGCGATATTTTATTTTAAAATCATTTCCTTTTAGACATGTTTGATTAACATTTGACAAGCAAAGTTAAATTATTATCAGCTATTTTCGAAAATTGTTTCTAAGTGCCACACCCCTATACGATAATTTGTTTATGAAAATTAAGACAAGACTCATTTAATTTAGTAAATCTTTCATTATTTCTTACTTCATTTGAAAGTAAGTATGATGTCACTAAGGATTACCTGCTTAGAAACTCTGTCTTTTTTAATTAATTAAGCCTCAAAGTCAAGTATCAATAAATGAATAATTAAATTACAAAAAATTGTTAATTAAAAATAGTCACTAATCAAATGGAATTAAGTTATTTATAATCATATTAATCTTGTTCTTCTATAATTCATTCTATATATTCAATGGTAATAGTTTATTTCATTATTTTTTCAACACCGATTCGGCTGATTCCACCATTTTTTCATGTCCAAATATCTAGATTCTTTTTTGACTAATTCTTCATTATTAAGCATTGTACAGAAACCGCAATAATCATCAGTTTCTATACTATCAGCTCTCGAGTGATACGAATAATGATTTTGCCATCTAAAGTAATCTACATACTTATCAGGACTCTTTATCAATTCATTCATTTTCTCAGCCAATTTTTGAACACCTAATTCTCTCGCGTTTAAATAAATTCCATCGGGCATAAACCTGAAACAAAAATGAAGTATTTTGATACTGAACAAATACATATAATAATATGACGATAGATAAAAGTGAAATATGCTATCATTCGAAAAAATCTATTTCATAATGAGCGATTAATATCATTTAGAATTTCCAAAAAATAAACACAATAAAATCATTATGAATCAATAAAAAAATCCCTATTATTAATAGTAACTGATCCAAAGGGTTTTTGGATTTTTTAAATAAAAGAATAAAAAATTGCAGAAAACAAACAAATTTGTCAAGAATATGACAAACTCACAATATGATTAGTTAATTAACTATTTTTTTTCTGTCGCTAATATTTCAAAGAAATATATATATATTTTCTTCATGACAAATAATTGAATTATATAAGCATATTGGTAGGTAATTGTTACAATGATCAAACATATCAATGGCTAATAACGGTCAAGGTACGAGGGGAGGTCAATAAGTTTGCGGAATGAGCGGGAAGGGGATTGAAATTTAACACGGAACTATTTTTCCTTTTCAATATAGTCTCCCTTAACCTTAATACATTTTTCGGATCTCACAAATAATTTATTAATACATTCGAAAAAAATTATTTATCTTGGCTATCAAAATAGGCCGAAATTGCGGACTTGACTTCTCAAATATTTTTCACCGCAGCTTTTTTTTCATTTTTGAAAACAAATAATAGTCGCTGGGGACTAAGTCTAGACTGTAAGGTGGGTGGTGTAGTTTTTCGAGTCCGCATCGGTGAATGGCAGCCGTCGCAACATGGCACGTGTGGACTGTTGCGTTGTCGTGCAAAAGGAGCACACCTTTTGACAGCTTTCCTCTTCTTTTTTCCTTGATAGCTTCTTTCAATCTATCTAATAAAGAAGCGTAGTACTGTCCCGTTATAGTCACACCACGATCTTTATAATTGATCAGCAAAATACCTTCTGTATTCCAAAAGACAGTCGCCATGATCTTTCCGGCCGATTGTGACACTTTAAACTTCTTTGGAGGAGCTGTGCCTTTTTTATGCCACTGTATCGATTCTTGCTTCGATTCAGGTTCATAGTGGTGAACCTAGGTTTCGTCACCAGTAAAAATCCGGTCCATAACTTCGTCCTTATTCTCTCCACAGAGCTTCAAAAACTGGCGAGAACACTCGACACGCTCGCTCTTTTGAAGTGGCGTGAGCATTCTTGGAACCCATCTTGCACTGACCTTAGTCATCCCAAGATGATGATGTAGGATATTTAAAATGTTTTTTTCAGATACTCTAACCATTGCTCCAAGCCGTTTCTTCTTCAACCGGGCATCTTCCAATATAAGTTTTTCTACTTTTGCGACGATTTTCGGTGTGGTGGCCTCAATCGGTCGTCCGGAGCGGGGGTCATCTTCAATGGACTCTCTTCCTTGTTTAAAAAGTCCATGCCACTTGTAAACCATGGTTTTACCAGAGGCAGAGTCCGCGTAAACTGATAACAGCTCTTCAAAAATTATCTGAGCGGATTTTCCTTGCTTGGTGAGGAACTTAATAACGGCGCGGTGTTCAATTTTCTCCATACTCACTGACTTCTTCCCGATTCACTTGTTTGCAGGTCAACAACTCAAAAGTTAATGACCCGATTTGGTTCAAACTTGGTGCATATACTATTAATGAGGTGTTGAACAAGTTACTACCTGGACGAGTAAATCAACCCCCTCCATCCCCTCCATTCCGCGAACTTTTTGACCTCCCCTCGTACTTCTAATTAATATTAGTCGTATTAATCGTCTTGTGTTTAAGAGCATTATTTAAGTGCTATTCGTTTATGTTTTACAAATATTTATTCATAAATATTATGATTTTAGTTTTACATTGAATATAGGAAAAAAGAGAATTTAATTGAAATGTAATATAATATTCATATCATTTTATTTATTATGCGTATTCTTGAAGACGTACATTCAGAGTTCAAACGAATATAATACTGAATATAAAGAGCTTGCAAAAACCATGTTGGGCTCAAATTTAGACTATTATATGATCCATTTTTTCACTACTGGTTTATTTTAAAATAGTTGTAATGTTATTTTTTTGTTTTATTTAAGATAATTTAAATACACGATTCAACCAAATGGTTTTAATACACCTTAAACAACTAATCTTTCTAAACAGATTATATGCTATTTATTACCTTGTATAATTAGCCGCTCCAAATACTACTGGCACTGCGTTGTGTTGTAATGCATGCAATAGCTTTTCAGTAACGTAATCTTCACAAAACGAATTCTCAAATGATAAATAAAAGTAGTAGTCCCTCTCTATCATCTTCAAACACTCTTCATGCTCTCCTGTTGAACATTTAAGTGAACCACAAGCACCGTAAATATCAACAACCAAATTATATTTCTCCAGTTCTTTTGACAGTTGTTTCACGAAATCCTCTCTTTTGCTCATCGAAAAACAATTTGATACAAACCAAGAGGCTGCTTTTTTTTTACTTTTCAATTTCTCCTTTAATTCACTACTCACTGGCTTCATATCTTCAAGTTTTTTCCAATGCATTATAGCATTAGGTCCAATAAGATTATTGTCTTCATCACGTATAGCCATATAGCCCCACCTAGAGTCGGAATTGGTTTTGAATGTCCAAGTCCAATTGAAGAAATCGTTAAGGTGGTCCGAGCACACTGGGTAGTAATGGGAAGACTCGATACTAGCAAATGCATATTTCTGGTGGGGGGATCTTTTGTTGGGTAACATTCCTTTACTGTAGCGGATAACCTCAGGCCCTGCAAATGCTATGACGTCGAATTTTTCCACTCCGCCAAGATACGATCTATCAGACGTTACAAAGCAATTTGTATAAGTACAATTTCTGTCAATGTAACCCTGCCTTCCCACTCCCATATATACGAATGGGACATTTTTAGGAGACGTCCATTGCAAAATGTATTTTAATCCTCCGGCTCTTCTTTCAAGTTCTAATTTTTTACTTCCTTCGTCAGTTTCTATGCTTCTCATATAATCATTAAATATATTACGGGTTGAATTTAATTTACTTGATGATAAGCACAGAAAAAACAACAAGACTGTGGCAACTAATATAAAGAATATTAATTTTACAGAAAGAAGACCCCGCATTTTATACAAAATAATGTTTCATATTCCACTACACTAGACTATGACACGTGTTCACACTGCACTATCATAACGTTGAAACTTATTAAACGTTATATCGGTTATCTAATCAATATCTATCAAGATTTATTTACTTTATGTATACGTAGAACTTATTAGGCCGCGAAAATTAATTTTATTTATTTATTTTCTTTAATAATTAGTTAATACAATTAACCGCGTCTACAATCCCATATAAAAAAAAAACTACATAAAGATGAAGACTAACAAAAGGATGAGTTTTCAAATTATTATTGTACAGTTGTAATTTTGTGCAATATTATATAATATTAGTAATATTCTCTGATTATTCATTAAACATATTTAACCCAACATAAATACAAAATGCATTTATTGCCATCTTGGATAATCAGGAGGTTATTCAAAAGGTTTTCTTGTGATATTTTTTTTCATTATTGCATATAATACTCTAGCACATAACTAGTGGACAGCGTCATTAATTAGGAGATATGTTTGTAACTGCCATCTATAATAAATAATGTGACTAAAGGAAAAACCCAATATTATCATCAGAGAAATGATACAGAGAAAAAGCTGTACTACCCAAAATTAAACAAAAATCATATTTTTTACGTTTTTGAGATATGAAATTGTTGAATGAATGAAATTATGAAATGAAATTGTGTATAAAAAAAATATTTTTTTATTATTATTATAAGTGTCAAAGTATTTCCATACAGAAAAATGCCTTATTTATATTTTTTAATTAAAGAAAGAAGTCTTATTTGTGCAGATATTTCGAATTTGTTTTGTAAAGATTATTCGTTAAATTATTTTAGCATCACTTTCTATTCACTGCTATTAGATCAATAAACTTAAAAAATTATAAAAATTAAAAGTGTAAATATAATTTAATATTAAAATAAGAACTTTTTACCAAATTAATGTGTATATGAGTTCACTACACGGTACATTTGTAGATCGCTATTTTTGTCACTATATAAACCTTGCTGTTTTTTTCTTGTTTCGATAAATCTTTTAAATAGCTGTTAATATTTTGACAGGACTTTCAGTGGTAGATAGCTGATATTATAGGGACTAGCTAAGGCTACATTATATTTTTTATGACATAGCTTTATTTGCAACTAGGCTATTTATACTGATTTTTAAAAATGTTCATTTTCAAATTACACACATAAATAAATAACAAGAAATTGTCATTGATATTTATTTCTATAATTTGTTTATAAGTATTAATTTCAATATAAATTTTTCGTAATAACATGTTTAGACGAATATGTTTCAGTATTTTATTAATAATCTATTGCAATTATATTTTTTGATTGTATAAGTAAATTTTTACATACTAAATGATCTCGTGATCGCGGTTGCTGCACAGTAACTTAATCGTCTGGAGTATGTAATATTTAAAATAATAAAATGTAAAATATTAGTTATCCGAATTATATTAGAAATATTATTATATTACTAGTCTGAAAATATGACTTTTATTTTAAAAGAAAAATCGCAAAAGTCTTACATCTCGTTAAATAATGTAATTTTACTATTTATTCTTGTATATAAATACATAAATTTTATCCTATTTATTTGGATAGATAGTTGGCCATCCACCTATTGTAAACTGGTCATTATATATTGTATATTGTCAAATATTTTACAATTAACCGTAGTTCTTATAGTATTTAAATTTACCAAATTTTGACATTTATTAAACTTATTTTTATTTACGGTTTTTAAATTTTCGTCACTCAAAATAGAAAAAAAAAGGGAATTCAGATTGTTACTCTCCCGTTCGTCCATTAATCTGTCAAGAATCTTTACCTCTTAAAGACGTTGAGGTATCCAGTTGAAATTAAAACAAAGCTGAAAAATTATCAAAAATTCTAAGAAAACTTGAAAAAATAAAGTACCGTTCTGAGGTATTAAAATTTATGGGGTATTGCTTTGACTCAAAACTGAAATTTAATAATGGTTTCGATTAGTAATGAAATTTGATAATGGTTACTAGAAAAGAAAACTTGGAGAATGAAATAAACGAGCATTCAAATTCTAATTGGTAATTAATTATACGTAATTATCTGTTAAAAACTTCTGTAGTATTTTTTGAATTATTCAGCAAAAATCATTTTACAAAAATCATTTTTTTTGACATGTAGTAAAGATTAATTCGAGTGAAAAATGTAGAAAACTCCATACGAAACTTATTTAAAAATTCTATGCGAAGTAAAATAGTTTGCAAAAATTCATAATAAAATTTCCCTGTCACGACTTTACTAGAAACTGAATACTAAAGGCATTGTCTCTATCAAGATAAGAATATCAATAAGTCTCAAGAGACATGCTGGAAAATTTTTGAATTTTGCATATTAATATAACTTTTATATTTATGGATATTTTCTTTGTTATGTTTGTTTTTCAATACTTTGGTATATCTTAGTGACGAATCATACTTCTTCAACCTTTTTCAAAAACAAAATTTATATATTAATGATTAATTTATATTTTCTATATTTATAAACTGTAAATTTTTTTGTGTAAGTTATTTATAAAATGACCTAGACCACCATTAATAGTAAACAACAAATACACTTCGTGTATCATATACTTTTCTAAAGATTAAAATGAAAATATAGATATTAATATAATTTAATAATTTATTTAGGCTTTCTCTTGTTTTAAAATAAAATTAAACAATTTGTTAACACTAATTCTTCTTTGGTTTGATCTTTCAAGTTGAATATATATAAAAAATATTTGTACTTCTATGATATAAACAATTCAACAAAATACAAAATCAATTTTAACAACGATCAGGTGGATCCCACCAGTTCTTAAAGTCTTCATAGATAGAAGTTTTTTTAACCATTTTTTCATCATTTAACAATGAACAAAAGCCACAGTAATCATTTGTTTCAATATTTTCTGATCTACTGTGATAAGAATAATATTTTTTCCATCTGAAGTATTCAGCGTACAAATCTGGATTTTCAATAAGTTCATTTATTTTGTTTGCCAACTTCTGCGGTCCCAATTCTCTTGCATCTAAGTAAATATTGTCCGGCATGAATCTATAATGTAAAAACAGAAACGTGTTATCGGTAAATGAAAACGTGTATTTTATTATTGACTGGAACGTAAATTTAATAGAAATGTCGTATAATCAAAAGCAAGTAAAACTTAGAAATGTGATGATGGATAACAAAGGCGTTGTAAATACCAAAACAACAAACAAAAGAGAAATGATAATACAGTACACATCTTGATCAATTGAGACCAAAAATGTTCTTAAAATAAAATGATCATAAAAATAGTTGCAATAAAAAGTAATTTTGTCAACACGAGATTAAATTTCATTCTTACAAGTTATATGACAAACAATTAATATTAAGTTGTACAATGTCATAAACCTTAAACTTCTAAATATTAGTAAAATTTATTTAACCGTCTAGTTAGTTCAGTCTTTATATTGTATGTTATATATATTTTTAAGGTTTTTTTAAGTAATATCAAATTCTGTCATGTTATTTTCAAGCATATGTGTACATATATGTTGCCAAAAATATTTTGCCTATAATGGAGAAATTTCAATATGCTAAAGATTTTAAAATTACTGTATTTTATCCAAAATACTATATAATTATCATGGAACCTTTGTTTCTATTTATACCCCAAATACTTTGCAAAACCTTTTCCATATAAAGTTACCTTGTTAAAAGTTACCTTGAATAATTTGCACCACCATATACAATAGGCACCGCCAAGTATTTTAGTGGATGCAATAATTTCTCCGTTACATAATCCTCAGCAAACGAGTTCTCAAAAGATAAATAAAAATAGTAATCTCTTTCAATAATTTTATCGCACTCCTCTTCATTATCACGAGAACATTTCATGAATCCGCATTCACCATATATATCTATTTGTAGGTCATATTTTGCTAACCACATACCTAACGCACTAACAAATTTCCCACGTCGACTTCTAGAAACACAATTGGAAACAAACCAAGCCACTGCTTTGTTTTTTTGGCTTAACTTTTCCTTGATATCCTTACCCACCACATCCATTTGGTCTTTTTTTAACCAATTCATATTGATTTTTGGACCTATTATATTATTTTGTGCGTCGCGTATCACAATATATCCCCATTTTGCTTCAGACTCTAATCTGTATGTCCACGTCCAATTAAAAAACCCATCAAATTCATCTGAACACATTGGATAGTTGTCAGCTGACTCAATACTAGCGAATACATATTTCTGATGCTGTGACCTATTTTCAGGGACACGATCGGGGTAACCAGGAGTGTGCATGAATCTCACTTCAGGACCAGCAAATGCTATAACATCAAACTTCGTATAATCACCGAGATATGTTCTGTTGCTTGTCACAAAACAGTTTGTATAGGAACAATTCCTTGATATAAAACCTTCTTGACCTTCGCCCATGTAAACAAAAGGCACATTCTTCGGTGAAGTCCATTGCAAGATATATTTTAAATTCGACACATTATTATTTTCATTTCTCAAAACAGATATAACATCTTCGGAATATTTTAATTCCACTGATTTATTATTATAAGCATATTTCAAATCTAATAAAAATTTATACACAAGTAACAAAATTGATACGAAAGAAATATAAAAGAATGTTTTCATTAGAATTGTAACCCGCATATTTGTTTTTTGAGTTGTTTGCACGCGTCTGAACAGTCGTGAGAGCAGCCTGATTGTGTACAAATACACAAAGATTTTAACTGTTAAGCTAGTAAACAAATATAAAAATATTTTTCTTGTATATAATCTACATTCACAATATGCTATGTAGAAACATATATACCATGGACCATGGCTGTCGTATTTAAAAGGAAATAACATGTGGATATCACATTTTATCAGATACAATTTGATGATTATTCGTTCTTATGTTCAAAGCTGAAACTGAGTGGTCATTTAAAGTGTATTAGAGCAATTTAAAGTGTTCGTTCCGGTTGTTGACGATTGTTGATTGTTAGGAAAACACATAACATATTTTTAAATTCCAAACAAAATTTTTGTAAAAAATATTATGTAAAACAAATTTCTGTTCATTGGATGTTTACATTTTCTGCAACATTTTCAATACATAGACGAGAAAGCTTGCAATTAAAAATAGTAATAAGCAGGCATAATATAAATAATAAATAAGTGAAATCCGTTAATGTTATAAAGAAAACTAAATTTGTCGTAGTTTCATTTATTAAAGGTTCCTTTGTCTTTAGACTTAACCGTTGATGATTTTAATAAACATATTATTCAGCAGAATAATGTTAACTATACACTACATATGTATCTATATTATGACACAATGACATATTGGTTGAATAGAAAACTAACAAAATGTTTGTTGTCGACGCCAGAGATCTCTGCAATTATGAATACAAAGAGATACTCTCCATAATTTGATCACGACTCGTTGCATTTTGTTTAATAAGCATCTCAATGACATCTTATAAAATGATAAAATTTTATATATATTTGAATGTAAAGTATCATTCAAATTGTTTACATGCGAATATAGGAGATATTACGCTTATGTAGCATCCAGAACTTTAATTGCAACCTTTACGTAGACAAAAAGGTCGTCCCAATTTACGGTTTCACAAACCCCAAAATGATTAGTTGCTCTAGTTTACAAACAGAACATGTGCGCAAAAAATGCATCATCCATCTAGCTGCCTCCAACAAAACCACGTACAACTAGTATAATCAATCAAGCGAGACATGTCTTCAATCTGAACATTTGAACAAATCACTTGTCTAGTTGACAGTACAAATATTCAATTTATTGAATTGTGAATATTTTGCATTGGAAGAAAATGCTGCTGATTTCAAAAATTCCATAAATCACATCAAATACATGAGAAACAATTTTTATTTTAATTGACTACATACTGAAATCGTCTGTTGCTGATGTATAACCCTGAAAAAATATGAAGAACCTTTCAAATTTCATATCTTTCTTACGTCACATTAACGATGCTGTTTATAAATTCCATTCAATTAACTTTTATGTTACACAGTGACAAAGCGTCAGAAAGTCCATTTGATGATTATTCTCTTCGTAAAATAAAAGACAAAAGAAATTGCGAAAGCCTAATTCACAGATTGTTTTTAACTTATAAGAAAAGAACTGGTAGACGCAGTAGGAAAACCTAGACGTTTATAGCTACGTTTCTTCTGAAAATGCAACTAAAATCCATATTTCTTTTCAACGATAGACGTTTAATACAAACATCTGGAATATGGAAGCCCTAAAAAGTCATTTTTAGTTGTTTCGTTTAAAAAGATTATAAAATCTTTCATCAAAAATAAATCGGACTTATCTTTAGCCAACTTTAAAAACTAGGTTTTCTCCTTTTCATTATTTCTTTTCATCCTTGGTAAAAATCAAAAGTTACTTGTTATTGCGAATAAATTCTTTTGCTCGTACTGAATTGGTTACTTTAAATTATGTTCATTTAAGAGTAATAAGGTTTCAGTCTTATAAGACAAGTTGACATTGATAGAATAACATTCACCTGTAATGTCAGTTGCACTGAGCTGTCACAAAATGCGCCTTGATATTTAGGCAAAAACTATATAAAACTAAACATACTATGCGCTCTGTTTTTGTATACAGGAAATATTCACAATATTTCAAAAATGTAAAAAAAATTGTTTGGTAAGGCTATTAATACATACAACCGAAATGTTAACTTGTTGTGGTAAATATGTTTTTAATTGGTTCTATTTTAGGTACATTTATTACACATTCTAATAATTATTTACAAATGTGTTCACAAAGAGCTATTGTGGATAACTTAGAATGTTGTATTGACGATTTGATTGAATGTTTTGAAGATTTTATCAGGAAATCACTTCTTTTAATATTTCTGGGCATTGGAGTTGTTATTGGATTGCTTATCTATTTACTTAAAATGATCGCGGAACGTTCACCTATCACAAACAATCTTATTCCAGGTAAGATAAAATATATATAAACTACATTACATACATATCCTCTGTTTAATAGCAGGCATCAGATTTTTTTATTTTTCATCGCTACCATTAAAAAGTCAGGAATCTTTTTATAACTTTGTATTTGTGTGAAGGTATTTAAACACATCAGATTAATTTCATTCAATTCATATAAGTATATTTTAACATTATATATTTCAATTTTCATTTGCTCTAATTATAAAAACATTGCCGAAATGTTAAAAACATAATTATATGCGAATTAAATAGCGATTGTAGTATCTTTACAATATTTCTTTTACAGTACAAAGATAGAAAAAAATTATTGGCATGCTTTTTACTTTTATATTTTTATGTACATTTTTACGGCTTTTCGAGACAGATGCAATATTTATCATACAATAAATACTATTAGAACAAAAATATGTAGTTTTTAATATTTGCAGACACATTAAGTAGGCATGGAGATAGATAAAAGGCATTGCCCTACATTATAAAGTCAATAGAATTACTTACTTTATCTTATGAAAAAACCGAAATTAGTCATAGGCAAAATTTTACAGTTGCCCATATTACGACTTTATAGTTGTTAATTTTAAATTGTACCTATATATATCTTTTTCCAATTCCCTCATATACATTCTTTCAGCGAGACTAGTGAGTAATTATTATTTTAATTGTCAATCAAAGTACATTTTAGTTATAAAATAAAAATGATCCTATTAATTTAAATCTAACTTATCTTAATCACTCTCAGAAAATGAAAACCGCATAATAACTAAAAGGTCGATGATTGAGGAGAAAATGGAAAAAGAAATTGTTTCCAATAATTTAGAAGATGATAAGACAACGAAAACTATGGAAAAGCTAAATAATAAAACAACTAAAAATGATACGGCCCAGGTTAAAAATACTACAGAGAAGACAAATTTCAATAATATGTTAAGAGACGGCTGTTTGTCATCTTGCTCTAAGGTACTTAAAAGACCTAAGAATATACTAAACTTCCTATATAAAAATACCTCAGGACTTAATAATGCTATAACATTTTATAAATATGTATAAAAAAATTCAAGAAGTGCCTTACTGCCTGTAATAAAAAGTAGTATTATTGAATAAAGTACTATATTGATATATTTTCTTACAGCATTGCAGTGGAATTTCACCAACTTTACCGTCAAGGTAAATTATTTTAAAAATTAGATCGTAATCACCGTCCCAAAAATATATATAATTGGTCAAGTGATCACTAAAGGATTAATTCAAATTATAATCCCTACACATACTAAAAAAACACAATTTTCAAATATTAAAAATATCTTAAAAGTATCTTCTTTTAACGTTTTTAGAGTTCCAGTACCAAGTTCACCAATTTCGACGTCAAAACACACGATGATACCTTGTGTACGAAAAAGATCTTTAAATAAAAGTAAGTTCAATTTATATCACATGTCTGATATATATCGGGCTACATAGCTACAATTAAAAAAACTCTACGACAAAAATTCTCTAAGATGAATGACAAAAGTTAATAATTTTGTCCAGGTAATTTACCATCTTTGCAAATATGTCCCCCGATGACAAAACCGGGTTCTTGCTGCTCGATGTGCTGTCATGACGAAAAAAAACCATCAGAAGATCCAAATAAGCCCAGGGTATATAGCAATCGACAATGAAAGTCAACTTTAAGGTGATGGAAGCGCATAGAATCCACCATTTCACCATTTTTGTGACTGTCAAAATCGTTTGTTTGAATTAATGTTGTTTTATAAATTTCTTGTCATATTTTTTTTTGATAAATTCAAATTAAACAATCCCATACAATTTTCAGTCGCATTTATTTTCATTTTAAATTAATTTTGTATCTTTTATGTTCGGTTTAACATAAAAAATATGCTACATATTTTATGAGTTTCTTATATATACTAATATCCAAAGAATCGAAAGCTAAATAAAGCTACGTGAAAGAGTTTTTAAGTTTCTATTAACATAAATATTATTGCAATGTCAGGAAAACTTCACGCAACATACAAAACTCTGAAAGTATACTTTTTATTGTAGTTTTCCGGGTATTTCTGTGACACTGCTGCAATCTCTTTCAATGGTTGGATATTGGATGAAAGTAAATATTTTGAACTCTCTTGAACATTTCAATTTACGAAGTGCTAGCAAGAATAGTATTCGTAAAGTATCTGCGTGTATTCTAGGAAAATTTTATATCGAAGTAAAATATGAAAGAGGTTACAACACCAGAATGTGATTATATAGTAACAATTTTTCTATAGTATAAGATAACTGGAATGAATAACTCTGAAATGATTATATAATTTTAAAGTGTGACATTATATGTAATTAAAAAAAACTTATGGGAACATTAAAAGACCTTTAGACATCATAGAGAAACTTATTTATTTTAAATGACATCAAATTCAATAGATTATTAAAAGAAATATATCATAGAAAAAGGAAAATGTCATTACAGTCAAATAAACAATCATCTACCTAAGTACAACTAAAAGATGAAGATAACGAAATTTTGAATAATGGTGTAAGCACAATGTAAAAAAAATGGCAAAACGGCACGTATACAAAGGCGAGTTGCTGAAATTCTTCACCTATATATTATATAATTGTCGAGTGAACTGTAAATATCCAACAATCCCACTTTGCAATATTCTATTCTGACATATTCCAATTTAAATTCCAGGCTCCTACACCAAATGTTATCCCGCATCACTTAATACCAGTCTACGTCGTACCAATATGATAAAATATATTGAAGCGATCTTTAAATATCTCTGCGCGGCTTATCGTACCGCTGTATCCAATTACTTACCGATCGTGACAGTTGTCATCGTTATTACACTAAGCCTATTACTTCCCAACAAAGTCAATAAGAACAATGAGTTGAAAGAAATAAACCAAGTTTTGGGCCACATGACGGTAAATAATATAGCATATGCCGAATACTATATATTAATGGAGGCATTCGTATCAATATTTGTATATTGAATGTTCATTATTTAGATTCTGTTAGCTATTAATAATATTTTCAATAGTCATCTATTTTTTTAATAAAACTTCTCATTCTATGTCACTAATTTTGTGGATAAACACATTAATTGATTGTTTTAGGACGAAGTAAAACGTGCAGAGGTGGCTTGTCTGACTGCGTCTGATGAGGTTCAATGCCTGCGTCATTCTATATGTAACCAAGAAACAGAGACAGTTCGTGTCCCTATTTATTCTGCCGTGGCTTAGTGACGAACTTACTGAGTATAACAATTTGTTTTTCATATCATTTTCATTAAATTTCACAATAAGTTTTTTGCATGATATATGCATATATCCTTGTCGAAACACATTTTAAAAGGCCATTAAGTGAAAATATATTCCAAAAACAGCCTTCCTGAATGAGTTGAGATTTTTTTTTTGATCTAAGGATATTTTAAGGAAAAGGACTTAAATAATATACTCATACTGTCACAAAGTCACGCTGAACGATATAAGTTTTCTGTGCCTCTACCACGGAGTCGCATTGTCTAACTAAATACATTTTCCAGTATTTCGTCCATACGTAAATATTCACTTAAGATAGAGATTAAGATATTCACGGTAGAGATATGAATGACAAACTAGAATTGTTTTTTGGTTTGACGATGCACGCTCGTGGTAGGGGTGCTGAGCTCAATACCAATCATAAATATAGTCATCTATCAGATGCGGGAACAACGAGATCTATCAGTGTGCACAAGCCGCGACTTTCTCACCACACAATCAGCGCCCATTCAAAACAAGAAAATTGGTTTCTTTCGTAGATTCTTCCCTCAGAGAAACGTATCAAGAAAGGTATTGGTAATTATTGCGAAAATTTATAGAACATATACATAACTTTATATTATTTATGTTGACAGAATTGGTTTCATGATTTTTTTTAGGAAATAGCTATAATGTCGATCGTGTACACCGAATCTATGGATGCTAAAAATAAACTAAATGCAGTTAAAACTATATGAAAAACTTTATACTGAAATTGAATATTATAAAAAAACGAATAAAAGTAGTTTCCAATATAACCCTATTTTATTTTATTTTTCCCCTTCCCTTTTTTTATCAAGTATTGAAATACTAGTGACATTATAACAAAAAACGAAGGAAGTACATACTTCATCAGAACGAAAGAACGATTTTTATTAATTGATTGTATTCATAATATTAACTAGTTAGTGGTTGCCTAGTGGTTAAAAGGGCCCGCCTCTCATGCATGAGGGCGCGGGTTCGGTCCTGGCTCAGGCAAGTATCAATGTGACTTTTCCGAGTCATGTACTTTCTAAGAGTATTTAGACATCACTGTTTAATACATTCCCAAAAGAGGGTTGATGTCAGGCAGGCGGCCGGTACTAAAAATTAGCCAAAACTATTCACAACATGTAAGGCAGACCCTGGCTAAATCTGGGAAATTTCCAGGAAGAATAAGAAGATTCATAATATTAACTAAATGAAAAAAGATTTAATATTTTTATATCTATATCTTGCTTAATTAACTTACAAAATTACACCCAAAACACAGAGATTTAATAATTTTGTAATAACAGAATTTAGGATAAAAAGCAGAAATCAATATAAAGAGAAAAATATACTTATTTCAACTTTTTAAATGTTGAAATGAGATATAAACTCTTTTTTTAATTAATAAAATATTCAGTCTTCTAAATTGTCAGTGAAAAATGCTTATAAGTTCTATTCTGTTCTATCTGTTGGGCTTTAACTAAACATAATGTGAACTAAAAATTATTTAAACTTTAAACAAAATAATAAAATTCCCTAAAAATGGCCGACATTAAACAATTAAAATATTTATTGGTCCAAGTAATGATTTTGTTATCAATAGTAGCGATAACGGGTCATTTGTCTGGAAATTATTTGGAAAGATACGCAAGACGGAGAGAAATTTCACGAATTAAAAGCAGTTTGAACTATTTGACAGTAAGTTATAATGAATTTAAATACACATAATTATGATATATTGTTCTTAAATGATTTGTTCCGAATCTTTTAATTCTACTTTAAGGACACTGTCAGCAGAATAGGAAGTACTTATGACATCTTGCATGAAGAAGTAGCCGGTTTTAGTATAAATTCAGCTGTGTATGTATCCTTCAAGAAAGCCAACAATACAGCGACAAATAATTTACAAGTATTTCATATAGAAAATTCAAGATACGATAATTTTGATTTTAGAGGAGATGGAGAAAACCCTTACATTAGTAGGGAAAATATTTGCAATTCTACAACTATAACGAAATATCCGTTGAAAGCTGCAGGAGTCGGGGATTTCAAACCAGAACGCCAAAAAAAGACAGAATGCAAACATTCGTGCCCAGCAAAAAGTAAAATTCATAAATGCCTTCAAGATTATATAACCTGTACCAATCGTGATTATGTTTGACGATTTGGATCATTAAAATTATATACATTGTTATTTACTAATTTATTTATAATCGTGTGATCTTTTAGCAACAACAACTTGGTATTAATAATATCAATATCCAATTCCGTGAGCAAGGAAAGAAAATTATTTTGGGTCTTGGCATTAACTCTAGAAGCACCTCTTTACACTCTCTGCATAGCGAGGTTTTACATAAATGGAGAGACAAATGGTTTCTGTTTCAAATCTTAAACCATTTAAAAAACTTTTGAAGCCCTTATTTTGATGAGAGACCCCTCCCTTCACATGAACACATTTCTAAATAAAGACGTAATTGAAACTATAGTTTCATTTTATATTTACCACTGGGATATATATCTTAAAAATGCAATACGAATAAAAATACTTTTTGTGAAATAGAATACTCTTTTATTACTTAAAATGTACCAAAACACGCATTCCTTAAAGATATATTACAGAAACATTTTTCGACGTCTAGTCAATCTTTTTTTAAAGTCTTACTAACGGTGGAAGACATGTTCGCGTCATTAATTGTAAGGTTTTCTTCGGTATTTACTTGTTCTGTTTTTAAGTTGAGAACTTTTAATGATTTTTCATTATTTTTTGGTACCTTACTTAGGTATACATCAACGTTGGGCAAAGCCAAATGCGCTTTGGGGTTCCAAACCCAATCGCCTCTCTCCATAGTATTGGCTAATGCTTCCAAAATTTCTATTTGACCTTCAATTTTAGGAAGTTCTTCTGAAAATTTCGTTATCTTTCTCTCCAAGTCAGAATACGAGCCTTTCATATTTGAAATGTTTAGCTGAAACAATATTTCATATATAGTAACAGCAGCAAACAATTATGAACTAAATTATAAATTAATAAACTAGATATTAAAGTGGAAAAAGATTTACAAAATCAATTAAAAAATGTTTTTGTTTCCCAAAGTCTAGAGAATTCAAACGGCGGTTTAATCACAAAGTGATGATTTTCTACCACATAGCCTTAGGGCCAGAGAGTATTTATATTGCGGAACCAGGTATCTGTATGTAGTGAAAAATATATAAAAGTAAATACACACAAAATCAAAGTTATCACTTATGGTACAATATTTAATAAATATTAAATAAATACACATATCTCCCTTAAGAGTACTATACAGTAACACCAATATTAAATACATAGAATTAAATAAATTTAACTTTTATACTTTAAATAACCAATTGTCTTCTGAAATAGTTTTTTCATACAAAATATAAAATTTTACGAAATTCTAAAAGATAAACCGTAAAATTAGAAGGGAAGAATTCCATAGTAAAACATTGTCTTGATAACAGAAGTAGATAAAAAAGAAAGAATATTAAACCTGACTGTGACATAATATCGAGAGCCACCAGAGCTTATAACGAAATTTAACATTTTATTATATTTTCACATAGAAAATCTCCAAGTTATTTTAAATTTGAAAATATTAAATTAGACACCAAAAATAAATTCTCTTCACTACACTTAAATAATAAAAGCAAAATCTTCTACGTGTGCGTTTACTCGATTTACCGAAACACCGAACAAAATTTGGAGAAAATTTTGTATTCCGCTGGGGATTTATAGGTCTGGAATAACAACTAGGCTATTCTTTGTTCCAAAAATAAAACGGGACTCGACACTTAAAATACTAGAGTAAAATAGTCGTTTCCTCTTTTAAGTTTAAGTTTTCAAGATCACTACAGATCATGATACAATGAAAGTACTGAAAATAAAATACCGCTATATCATCAAGGCCCTTCGTGATGTTGTAAATGTTACATTTCTTGCTACAGTTGTTGCAGTGGAACTCCAGCATGAGATACATTATAGCAATGAGACTCGTCAGAACAAGGAAGCTGCAAAAACCGTTGAAAACAGACCATTTCGGTGGTCTAGCAGCTATATAGACAGGAACCCTAGGTCTTGAACGTGGTCGGCCTCGGCGATTGCGTCTATGATACTCCATGTTTCGATTTTTATTAAAATTCGCACCGTTATTTCATAAATCACATTCTTATTATCCAATTATTTGTATTTATTGCGGCATATATAATTTTAAAGACATTTTAATTTAGTAGATTTAAATTTTGACACAACCCTGTATAAAATTTTGACAAACATGTAAAATTTTTTAGAAGTTTTTTAATCATGTACAGCTGAAGAATATGCCAGAACGAAAACATATAACATATACATATGTACTTTTATTCAAATTATATCTTGAGTAATTTTAGAAATAAATAATATAAATTATCAAGGAATTGGCACTACTTAATAAAATGCTTATAATCGAATTTAATAGTTACGTCAGATATACTTATTCTAATGTCATCTACTTTTTAATCTCTGAAACTTACTTAGCCTTAGACTGAAAAGTCAGACGTAAGCCTTTTAACGTAGTGTGATTGAAAACACACAGATGACACTGTAACATTATTTCGCAAGCCTTAGTATTCAATAAGTTTTAATTAAAATAACAATAGATAAAATGTATCCGTGATTATTGATGAAGGTTAAAATGTAAATTGTGAGGTTGAAACAAAAGGACTTATAAAACATTCATAACAAAAATATGAGAGTAGAAAACTTGAATTTTTCATTTATTTCAACTATTCTCAGTGGTTATAAGAGCTGTGGAAACAATAAACTTTTTCCTTTTATACGAAGCTCATCAAAAAATGCATTTCAAAAAAGTTCCAAAGCAAAGGAGAAAGATAGGAGTACTTTATGGAGCTATCTAATTGCTTTTTTAGAAAAGGCCTATAAGATAGACTACTATGTAGGTTTAGAAAGATTTTTTTTATATTGAAGAATATAACATCATAAGTATAAATGATGTATGACTTCAATCTTGTGGTTTTTGGTCCTCTGGCGCCCTCCGCCATCACGTTTAAACTCCCGAAAGAGAAGGTTTATATCATCTCTTTCCCTCTTATTGTACTCCTTTCTTGGTTGTCGTTTTACATTTCGAATTTAGTGACTCGTTTATATCGATAGTTCAGTTATAGATAGTTTTTATAATATTAATTATATTTAGTGTATTGTATTTGGTTCAAGTAAACTTTTTAATTATAAAAACGATTTATATCAACATAAGTAAAAAATTCCAAGTTATATATTTTATATCGAATATCTTTTAGTTTTTAATTAGAGTTGAGTATGATTAATGAATATTTCAAAGCGGAATAATGATTTCGTCACTAACGTATATTTGTCGTAAGATAAAATTTAAAATGAACCGTTTTCATACAGTATTTAACCTTTGTACACAAAAATTTTCACAGTCATAAAATCGTCTGACATATCGATAAAGAAACCATGTCATCCCTTCCAAAGCAGCGGCATGATGTCATTCATCCACACACACATACAACAGGTCGCGAGACGCCAGTCGTGTTTACATTACCGAGCGTACCGGCGCGTTGGAAACGTTGTCTGTGATTTAATTTATTAGTTATAATATAGTTGAAATGGCCAACAACAGGGCCGCGAAGTCTGGATTTGCTGCTGAGGCGCAAAGAAAGGTAAGAACGTATGAAGATAACACCATGACTAACATATAATGACGTCCATGTGCTCTCACAGTATGAGCTAGCTTAAGTATATTGATCTGGATGCTGGGTCCAGAATCTGTTACAAGGGCTGGGTCATGACCTACTTCCGAGGACATCCCATTTTCCGCATCAACTATTTCCCGTTTCACGTAAAATAAAATATGATTTATCCTTATATTATTGATGTGGCTAACATACATCACCGATAAAAATTTCAAATCGCTTAAACGTTTAACTCTGTATCCTAAACGCCGGCAAACAGGTTTGCTCACAAAAAAAATGTGTAGAACTTCAGCGATGCCATGGCTATGTGACCCATGGGAGTTAACACTAATGAAATTAACCAAATATATTTAATATAATCAAGTTTAATCCATCTATATATAATGTTTAAGATTTAATTGGAATTTAATTTTTAATATCTCATTGATCGAAATGTTCACTTCATTAATCCTCTTTCCATAAGGCGAAGTACGTCATACATAGAACACAACTAATACTTTTCTGACTATATTTAGTCATGATTTAACTGCATACCGTACATGACTAACAACTATCTACTTGTGACAATACAAATTATGCAAAACAATAATATAAGTTACGAAATATACATTCTATATTTCCTCGAGTTTCTGTGGTTTAAATGTATGTCACAATACCTTCGATTTTGGCATAAGTTTAAATGATTTTTGTGCTATCATATAATGTCGCTTTAGCGACGACAATTTTTAAACAATTCATAAATGCATATTTTTTTATTGGCTAAGGAATTGTTTTTTGCGTTTGCAAGTAAAATTCCATAGCTCAGACGTTGAGGTTCTGCATTTTAAAATGCACATTTACATTGAAGTTAAACCAATAGGTTCTATGAGGCTATGATTTAATTTAAAACAATACCATTGTAATCTGATCAATAGTTTATGAAGAAATGAAACCTTGTTAATGCAACTTCAGTCCATACCCTTAAGTGAATTCTACAACAATAGATATCCCACGTAATTATCAAAGTGTATATTTCAAAATATTTCCGCGTTTTAATAATTATCATAAAGATTCTACATGTAATAATATAAAATTATTATTGAATAAGGAAAATTACAAATTTAAAATATTGCCCATATGTAAATCAAGCACGCAAGTCTCCAAATACGGTCATTAACCTCATGTACTTAAATATATATGTTAATAACTGTTGTATGTATGTATCTCCGAAAGTCGAGTTACCAGTTTTTGTGTAAAAAAAAATCTCTGTAAAAGGTGTTTTTAACGGCAGTGCATCTCTTTTCGATGTGGGTCAAGGAGAATCGGTCAATTGGACCGGTTATTAAACAAATGAAAAAAATCGTGCGTCAACGATCTCGAAGGGAATAAATTTAAAATTATTTTAACCCCTCGAATATGTATATCAAAAAAACGAACGACTTGTTTGAAATACAACAGCAGTACTTGTTGAATTCATATTTCAATGCAGAATTTTAGACTTTATTTTAATGCTATAAGTATTATTATAACATAACCTATTATAAACCACACTATTGTCACAACCTTAACTCAAACAGCATAGCAATGACCATTTAAGCTAATGCGCTGAATCAAATATTTTGTACACTTGAATCCTTATATGACGCATCTAGAAACTTCTCGATGAAATCAGCATCTGTAATGACATACGTAAAATATGATCTGGAATCTTTTAACCGAATAAAAGATTTCAAATCGTCAATGGGCTATTTGTTACCAAAATACACTTGAATAAAGTCGATACCAAGTATGTAGGAACAGATGTTCAATTAATCTCACAGAATTTATTACATACTAATACGATGATGACTCATAAGGTACGGTTCACTTACGACACCCGACCGTTCCTTATACGGTATGGCCTTTACGCTGGATGTATTTATAAGGCACAAATATAGGCTACTTTCAAAACTCCGCCATATGTTCGAGACTGACACTTGACCAAATTTCTCATTCTACAGTACAAATATTTAACTTATTATATATATTGTATGAGGCTGTACGTCAATATATATGTAGACGTGTGTGGTCGTTAATTGAGACTTGCAACTTTAATTCTGGCTAGATAACCTCTGACAGGCTGAAGGTAGTTGCAACAATTAATTATAATATATTGCACAGAATATTGATCGATCGATGTTCGTATTGACCTCACAATAAATCCCGTTGATAGATGTCTAATTATGTCCCACGGTCTGCACATTTAATTAGATTCGTATAAAACTTAGTTGATAACTGAATCGCATTAACTCGGCCTCACACTGGCCTCATTACTGTTTCCTTTTTCATCGTTCTGGCATTGTTGATGTTGAGGTCTTTACAGCCTTAATATAGCGGTCATTTGAATCGGTCATAGATTTTAATTAAGACGACCATTAATTGTTGATCTATCATGTAACACTTATTTCGATGACTTGGAAAAGAAGTGTACCTAATCTTAGGACGAAGACTTCAAATTTTTCTTTTTATTCGCAAAAAAATGACGAGTAAAATATTGATATGGAAGACTAATAAAATATTGTTTTAAAATATGTCAAGATGACCTCCGATTAGGCCGTTTATATTAAGTCATTGCTATTTCTGTTCGTCGTTCAAATGTATGTCCATAAAGCTGCGGATTGTCAATGAAAGAGCTCTTTCAAAGGCCTATACGTAAACCCTCAAAGGGATACGACCTTCACAGAGCAACTGGCGCCAATTACGTAATATTCATCCACATACATACAAGATAAACTTTGGAGTACATTAGCGTCAAACTATACTTTATCGCCTTAATGAGTTCGTTTGCCTTTCGTTCTAAATTCTAAATTTATCTAAGCACTTAAATTAGTTTAATATTAATTGAATTAAAACGTCGAAGCAAATTTCACTTATTTTTTGGTTTACTTTTAATGTAATGGAACAAAATTACTAAGGACAGGTGTTACAAAAATGTTCAAACAGGACATAACAGAAAAGAAACCACTTCCTCTTTATACTAACACAAATTAAGTGAGTCTTTGGAATATTAATGAACGACAACCATGTATCTTCTTATCGGTCAAACCCATCGTTAAATAACCGACAGTTATTCCAACGTTCGCGTTTTATTAAGTAATGCTATTTTACTGAAGATTTATTATTTTAATATACTATAAAAGCTTTCAATGTAATGAGAAGTCGGGTTGGAGGTAAACGCAAAATGTAAGTACGGCATAATAGTTCTAACATATATACAGTATGAATAGCACATATGAAGCGTATCCCGTTTCACATTCAATAACCTACCTTAAAATTATAATATTCTAAGGTTTATTATTGATAAACTGTAAAAATGCTAACATTGAATGAAGAGAATAACTTGAAGCTTAGTTTTGATTTTATATATAATTCTGACCTTGATTCACAAGAAGGATCAACCTGTTTTTATCATTACCACTGCCCAGACGACGGTTTTCTCATTGCTAACGATACAACCAAAATATCTTGAGTCATGTTCGAAGTCTTCACCCATTACGTCACCACGTGCGTGATTCGATTTTCGGTTGGTTAGTTACATCGCTTATACGAAATTTAATCATACAATATTAGTTACATAGAATTATTGTATGGGACACATGATAAAGCATTTCACTGAAATTATTTGTCATTTAGTTGGTAATACTTAAATACATAGTTTTATTAGTTTCAATACGTATGAAGCTTATTGTAATGTGTTAAATGTCGATTGTCATATATATGTGTATCTTTTCTGCTTATATGATACACGTTTCAGATTACGTTGTATGTTAAGTCAACAGAACTAATTGAAGTAATGTAATATTTAAATAATTTTAAATTAAAAAATATATCTAAGTTTGAATGCTCCTTATTGAACAGTACTAGGAGATCACAAAGCAATAGAAGATAATTAAAATTAGTTAATAACATTAGTCAAATATTTGTCATATAATTCGTCAAAATAAGTTATTATTCATTACTTGTTTGTAGCGTGATGACTAATCTTATAAGAACTCCAAAAGCGTGCACTGTACAGTATTTCTGTTTAATAGGAAAAGAGAAAAAAACAATTGAAATCTTACAAAATTTATCTTCATTACGATGCCATGAAGTCCATAAACTGTATTATGGTACTATAAAGATATGTTTATTTTAATGCAATTATCTGTCTGTAATGCAAACTACTTTCCAATATGATATACATACCTAATAGAAATTCGGAACAGATCTAACGGTTTCCACAAATCAAAAGTACTAAACTGTTTATTGTAATTTTATTTAAAATATATTCTAAATAATAATCTATCATTACAAATAACATGTTTTCTCATTCGGCGAGGTTTAACATAGGCTACGCTTATCAATGTGACCTTCAAATGTACTGGCATTGGCGAAACTTGTGTTGCATTCTGTTATCACTCACACATATGTGTTTAGTATTAGAGAATTTATTAAGTTAATTAAATTCGAGCCACTGTATGAATGTGTGAGTGAAAACGTTTATGTACTTTTGCATATGTATGGATCGGTATGTGTGTGTGAGTTAGAGACTACGCATGTGTACAATATTAAATAACGCATATTGTGCTATACACGATAGCAGCAAAAATATTTTTTAAAGGAAAATAAGGATTGTGTTACACCACTCATTTTTGAATAGCAACGTGTTCGTTACTACTTCCGCTTAACCATTTCTCAGAAACCTTTCAAATCATTCTATGCACACAACATTCAAAACACTTTCGACCGTCTTATTCATAACTGTGTCCAATTCTTTTATTTTTAAATCTTTCTCTTGCACGATAATTTTCAAACAGTATTTATTTTATTTACATCTCTCTCTAAAAATAAACAATGGTTTAATTTACATACATTTCATGCATCACGTTAAATATAACTTCATTAAAAAACCATCTAGCTGCGACTTTTCAAGAGCAAACAGCGCATAAATAATTGAGTCTGACTCTTCTAATGAGTTACTCTGAAGTGGCGTCGCTCTGGTCTGAATTAATATTGATATATTCTGTATATTTCACGTGCAGACATTCCACAGGATACGCAAATATATACTCATGTAAGAGTGTGCTAAGGATGATCCCAACTTTATTAGGAAAAGTACTTCAAAGTCTTCCATCCTGTAAAATATTTGCTTCAAACAGGACCAAAAAGATCGGTTAAGAAATTCTTAAACAACTTCAACTTCTTTCGTGAACTAATTTTGCTTAATGAATATCCAATTTTAATCGAATTTCAACATACTTGACTGCTTATAATCAGTTGATATCAGTTAAAAAATAATATCACTAAACTTTTTCCATCTTAGGTCAAAACACTCGAACGCCAGTATAAAAATTCTGACATATCTATAACTAATTCCAGATTAACAGCAAATACAGCGAGGAGTTGGCTGAGGAGTGCCTGGAATGGATCCGACAGATCATCGGCGAGCCTGACAATACTTCAGGTGATATGGACAACTTCTACGAAGTACTTAAAGACGGCACCATTCTATGCAAGTAAGTTTATATTAGGATCTTCTAATTTACATTATAATCATCTTAATATTTCAACAAATATTTTAAAACGATACAAACAAATAGAGTTGTATCAAATGAATGGGGTCGAATTTATTGTGATTCAATACAGACATTATCTTCAGCGCATAAAGGAATAGAATAGAAATCGATGGTCGTGACTTAGTCGTTCAGATATATATACAATTTAATGTGACACACTACATTGTAGAGTAACAGATATATAGTATTTGTTAACTAGGAGGCTATTAACATATATATAAAAAAAAGTCATCTAAATACCTCTGTAAAGTGTTTTGCATGATATGTGCTTTAAATTGCTAAAAGATAATTATTTTTACTTGTATTTTTTGATAAGGGGAAAACTTTATCATAACTTACAAGACCGTGGTCTGTCTTTCTTGATCTATGTCGTGATACCTGACATGTTTATTTATCGTGAGATAAGGAGAGGGTAATGTTGTCCTATTTACATAGTAAATATATAAGACTCGAGCTTGCAACACGTTTAGGTCTTGAACGGAATTCTAACAGGAGTTGAGTTCGAGATCACGATATAATTTGCAATTCCATCTAAAGTGCACTTAGTAAATAGTTTGTTAATGTCTATGTCATGAAATGAAAATATCATAGATATTATCGTTAAAGAAATTACAAATAAATAAAAATTTGTCTCATTTTTTATTTACTAGCACTTAAATACTTAAAATCTTTACTTATATTTCATCAGACTGGCAAATAACCTTCAACCGGGGACCGTAAAGAAAGTCAACGAGTCCAAGATGGCATTCAAGTGCATGGAGAACATCAACGCCTTCCTGGAGGCAGCCAAGCAATTCGGAGTCCCCGCTCAAGAAACATTCCAAACAGTTGACCTATGGGAGAGACAAAACCTCAACTCTGTGGTCATTTGTCTCCAATCACTCGGAAGAAAGGTAAAGACTCCTCACAAAATTCGTGTTTTACTTACAGAATATGAGCATTCATAATAAACAATTAAACAATATTCCATTAATCTTCTGCCTAACATTATTTGATATAAACCTTAAGCAAAATATACATATTTCGCTCAGAAAATACGGACATTTTATAAATTTAAATTATATATAACACACTAAGTCCATAAAAACAAAACATGTTAAAACGACTTCGTCGCTATAAAATGTTCCAAAAAACGTGATTTTTGATAAATTTAATGAGACTCAAACGAAATATCTAATATTTTCAGGCTGGCAACTACGGTAAGCCTTCAATAGGGCCAAAAGAAGCGGAAAAGAACGTACGGAACTTCACCGAGGAACAGCTAAGAGCTGGTCAGGGTGTGATTTCCTTGCAGTATGGATCCAACAAGGGTGCCACCCAAAGCGGTATCAACTTTGGCAACACAAGGCATATGTAAAAATATAATTATGTCCCTCTCTCGAGCATTGGTACTAGCACTTGCTGGATCAGGACAAAACATATATGATCTAAAAGACAAAATTACGAAGTCATTCCTTATAGGACTTTTTTATTGCTAACATTAAGTTCTGTACTTATTAAATAAGATAGCAGAAGTAAATTAAAAGAAACTTTATATATAACGCCTTGTAACTTAAAGAATCTCTTAAAAGACGTAGTTTCGAAATGAGCATTTAAATAATATATTCATTCCATTTAATTTATATCTTTGGATGTTAAACAAGTGAGTTTATTGAGAGCTTGCATAGTTTTATAATATATTTGTTTTATAATTCCGTTTCTTATTTAACTCGAGACTCATTGAAGTACCTACACAGTACAAGTGAATTTATTTGTAAAACTAAAACGTATGTGCCTTCCCCCAAGGGGTAAATCTTCGAAGGTGACTAACAAAATTTTAACATTAAGATCTAAATCTCGTATTATTTATTAAAATAACGTCATTCCATATTATATTTATTTTGTTAGTAAACTTCTATAAATACATTTATTCTTATAGTTATTGTATTTCGTACGTAAAATTAATTTTTGTGCCTGAAAAATGCACATTGTCACTTTGAAGTACGTGGAATAAATTAGTAATATACATAATCGTGTTTTCTTTGCTCTGTATTTCTTTCCTTTAACAATATTTTATCATGAAATAGTATATAAGTACATAGATTCCTATAAATAGTTACGGGAAAACAAAACCGTACAAGTACATCTATTTTTATATAAAGCCTCTTTAGCTTTTAATTCTGAACGATAAATTCTGAGTAAATCGTAATCTGGCATTGAGTCAGCACACGCTTTGAATTAATGATGTCTATTTTAAATAACTTAAATGTGAATAAAATTCCAACAAAATCAAAATGATTCATAACTCTCTTTATAAAACTTAATAGACTTTTAACATATCGAAATAATAAAAGAGATTTATAATAATGTTTAAAACTTATGTTTTATTATTTCTATGCTTATAGGAAATAATTAATATACCATTACAATTATATGCAATGTAACTAAAATTTAAATTGTTGTTCCATAACTGACGTTACCAGGATCCAAGACTAATAATTTCAATATACAGTAGGACCCCGATTATCCGGACCTCGGTTATCCGAATTCGCGATTATCCGGACTGCCAATCGCGACGAGTTTATTCTAACATTAGCATGTCAGAACTTGCATAACGCCACGCCACTTATAACTAGGGCCCGGATAAATATGTATTAAAAAATCTAAAATATGTACATAAAATATGGACGAAAAAATCAAAAAATATGGAAAAAATATGGAGTATAAAATTAAATAATTTCATAATTAAACATTGTTTTACTATAAGAAAGGGTCACTCGTGACGTACATCGTTAAGAAACATTTAAAAAACGATGGAAAAAGAGGATTGAAATATTTATTTCAACAAAAAATAACAGTTTTATTCAACTTCCATTACACTAGCTTTATCAAATTGGTTGCAATACACAATGACGTCCTTCTTTAAATTATCAAAATGAAAATTGACCATTTGGTCGACATATAGCCCTATATTTGCTGAATGATCTCTCCACTCCCATGACGTGATGGATGCATACTTAAGCAAACTTAATTCAGTAATTGTGTAAGCCATGTCTACAGCCCTCGAAACTTTCGCACAGAATTTTGTTAATTTTTTAGCGTTTTAAATCCTTTATTTTTATCCAAAACATTAGTGGCGGGAACGTAAATTTTATGTTTTTTGTGAATATATGGATGATTGTGACATTTTCTTGTAAAATATGGACTTAATTTTTGAAATATGGTAAAATATCGAAAATAAAAGTTGGTTTTCAGTCTAAATATGACAATCCATGTAAAAAACACATTCTAGACCGAAAATCGCGTAAATAAAAAATATGTATTTACATATTAATCCGGGCCCTACTTATAACACTTATACGTACATTTCTTAATAAACGATTTCTTAATAAACGTTGATTTTCGCTCATATGTATTTGTTGTTTTAAATAAACACCTAACATTACGTATGTATGGTACAGACTACATATGTACATATGCAAAAAGCCCGTTTTTCTTCATATATTGGATTATCCGGACTTTCAATTATCCGGATGCCTACCGACAACAATTAGTCCGGATAATCGAGGTCCTACTGTATGTAGTAAAGTATAGCATTTGTGTTTCTATATTTCAGTAAACTTTTCCGAAACTGTACCATTGCCTTTAATTCAGCAACTTAGTAAAGTAAGTTGGTATTAGTATAACATATTATTTAGTATGGTATTTGAAATAAACAAAAAAAAAGTTTCATTGAATTGAAAAGGAATGTACAAAATTATCGGTCCACTTAAATGAAATATAATATTTTTCAAAATATTACCGTCTATAAGGAAAGTTTCTTTAGAAGACACGATAGTGGTGATTTAAAGGTTATTTTAAGAATGGAGATTATCCCATTTGATTTTTAGATTGTAAGAGGTTCGTAAAGTTAAATAATATGAGACTCGTCGTGTAGTTATATAACAGAAGACTCGTCGTCTAGTTAAACAACAAAAGACGGTTGCATAGTCGTCTATTTGGTTGATGTAAGATACTATCAAAATAGTTTTTTGTCATATTGGGTCTTAAACTTCTTTACCTGTGCGTTTGGAATCCATTCAAAAGAAATAATAAGCAACTCAATTAACATTCTAAGGTAAAACTGTTTAGATAATGGTTCCCTCTATATATTAAGATATACTCAGTTTGTTTTTATATAGAGAAGTTGTGCATCAAAGGTAAAGGGTGATATCTACCAGTATTATATGTCTTTTTTATTACAGGCCTTTATTTGGCAAGACGAGAATGCTAAATATAAAATCCATGTAATGAGTTCAGAGATGCAGAACGAGTCGTTAGACATCCCATTAGCACAAAAATGGCGCACCTTAATCCATAACTGTTCACCAGCACTTCTAAAATTTTATCTCAATGCATCAAAAAACTTTCGCTAATCAAAGAAATTTAGTGCAATGGAGTAAAGGTATCGAAACAACTTGCTATAGCTGCGAGGAGACTGTTGGAACTGCTAAGCCTCGCTTGTGGTATGTTAGGTATTCCATTCCTGTTAGCTAATCATACAGTGTTTAGTTTTTCAGTAGCAAAAGCACAAAAAGAAATAATCACAAATATTCGATTAATGATAATGATAGATGTGTAGAATGATAAATGATGGATATGAAGATATTTGTGCGTCGGTTTCCAAACCAGACATATGGACTTCTGTACTGGCGAATTTTAAAAGCGTGTTTTTTAGTAGAGCTTACGGTTCCCTGAGAAACCAACATTCCCAAAGACCATGCCATGAAGGTCAATAACTATTACGAGTTCATTAATGAACTCACTAAAAATAGGTTCGTCGTAAATTTGTACGCTGTCGAGAACTCATATAAATACATTCTTGGAACGTTATTTGAAGGCAGCCCTAGTAGGTACTTTTCAAATTTGGTTAAATAAGGACCCATTACAACTTCACCTAGGTCGCAAGTCCCAATCTCCCTGCAACGCAATGGACCCGGTTCCCGCTCATGAATCCATGGAGTGCTGAGAAGTGACGTCTCATATACTGTAAGAACAAAGACCATAAAAAAACATTGGGAATTTTTTAACAAATAAATGATTTAATTAAAATCACATGTGTCCTAGAATTTGATAACCTGTGTATGGCTAATTCATGACTACCGAGAAAAAGCTTGTGACCTTGACCACAATATTGTGACAGTAATACATACTATGTTTTTTGTTTCAATAACGTAAGTAAAATTCCTAATGAATAGAATTCCTGAATATACCTGTAAATGTTTAAGAATTTAATCCAAAATAACCATTTTAATGTGCAAGTTTATTAAACTTTACAGAAATTGTTTTTGTAAGGCAAGTAAAAGGTGTTATAAGGTTTGTTTAATTTATTTTTTGTTTCAATTTAATGAAAATTAACCATCATTTGAAGTTATCTGCACATACGTGTTTGACCCTGTCGTGTTATTGTTACGGATTTTTATAATATCTCTAGGTATGATCGCAATGAACAGTTGACGACAGTAATAGATAATAGAAGTCATTCTTTATTTTATAAAAATCATTAGATTGGAGGTGAGTGACAGATAATTCATCTTTCATGGTTATAACTATAAAGAATATCTACATAAACGTTTGTAACATATTTCTTACCTTAGTTTACGTAAATTAGCCTTTTTAATCGAAGATACTTATTACCCGACATAAAATTTATATGTGGTCTGTTTACCTCACATCAATTGACTATTCTATTTAAAACTTTCGCTTTGAAGATGCAGCATTTCTTCTAGTATTCGATTAATTCATGATATAAAATCTAAAGACTATTGTATTAATTTCCTGCATTTGGAAAGCCTTCAATTTGATAACGCTGCATATAAAATACTTAGTAAGGGTTTTTAGACACTCGCAAGTAATAATATTTTATGTTTTTAATGATTACGGTACTTAGAGGTATAATTTAGAGGAGCTCTCAAATGCGAATTTTGACTCATTTAAAACGCAATTATGATTTCTTATCTAAATACTTCACTGTTATCAAATTAAGTTTTATTTTATTCCTGTCTGTCTGCCCACATTTTGGTGGACTTTGGCATGCGGATGTCAAACCAATTAAAAACTAGGAAGTTGAGTTTTGCAAAAAAAAATATTACAATTAAAATTTTCCTATAAATAACTATATATTGAATTTTCATTAAATTAACATTCACATTTGTACCTACTCTTAGATCCTGAAGAATTAGTAGCTTATAGTCCCGACACTTTTTAATTCGATGGCTAATTAATTAAGTGCCCGTTGACTAGATTTCAAACATCCTTTTTAATCATTTTTAGCTTACCAAAAATTATATCAGGGAGGCTACCTAGGCACATAACAAAATTGCATCAATAAGTGAAAAGCTGTTCGTCATTACGGAAATAACCTTCAATTCTTAAGCTATACAAAGAATCTGCTTCAGAATAGGCCCTTTTTTGGAAGTTTCCTCTTCAAGACCCAGTTATCAACTTTCAAGAGCAAGTTCAAAAGTACCTAAGTGTTATTAGTAACTTAAATAATTATTATTTTGCTATTAAGTGGTTAATCATATTGCTCTTAAAACTTGTCAGGTAATTATTTTTTTTTTTTGTCTAATTATACCTACTAACTGCGTTATTACTTCTCTTTAATGAACCTCAGAAAAATCTCTCTCTCTCTCAGTTATCAGCCAGTAAAAGAGATTTAAAAGTATTATTTGTTATTTAAAAATGGTTATTTATTATTATTATTATTATAATCGTTACTTATAAGACTCTTTTATTATCGTCTGTGCGATTAAAAATACAAGCATTTGTAATTTCTCTAATACTTTCAGATATTAAATAGACATGAGACAATAAATTTTACATCATTTTGTCACGTCTATATACTAAAATAATTAAAGAAAACTGACCATTATATATTTAAAAGGTTTTAAAAGGTTTCTTATTAAAAAAATGGGATTACGCGACAAATAAAGACGCATATCACATTTTTTTTATTTTATAGGTAATACCAATTATTAGAATAATTGTGAACTCCTGTAACTAGTAGCTATTTCATATTGGTTTTACTTATGAGTAATGATATCCTTAAAATAGAAAATTAAACGACGTATTTTTTTTTCATCAATACTTACTGAAAATTTAATATTTTTCTTACCTTACATTACACAGTTATTTTGAAGTTATTATCACACTACGGAATAACACTATCACGTGAACGCCAGGGTAAAGTTTCGTACCCCCCGCTTAAGCATTATCAACCCTGATAACCTATACGATAGCCTTAATTAAAGAATTTTAAAAACAAATATTTTCTGAACATACATAAAATTTGAGTCATAATCTTTGATCATTTAAGTAAATTATAATAAATTTCAAAAAATAAATATTATATACTTACCTAGATAAAAACGATTTATATTTTGCTGAATCGGATACCGTTTTTATATTGAAATTCTCGAGTTACGTAACAGAAATAACCACCTAAAATGTTAAAGTCCATTTTCTAATTAGAGTTTATATCTTTTATGTAAAAATTTCTACGAAATTGACACTACCCAATAAAATCATTGTATTAAAATAAAATATTTTAATTTAATAAAGTTTAGAATTTAAGACCTCTAAAGAGTTTACATTTTTAGTATTGTCATAAAGATATTATAAAAAAGTTATGTTATGATATTTTTAGCGCATTTGCAACAATATTTTGTTAAAAAAAAAACTATTTACGTCATTTATGTCTTGTCGTTTTTGACGTAAATGTCACGTCAAAATTGAAAACATAATATTATTGAATATTAAATTTATTACAGCTCTAATGCGTCATTAGGCTTATAACTATACAAAATTGCTTATTATTAATATGAAATAATTATTTGTGATGTCGCAGTTGGGGGCGTTGTCAAACGGATGGGCAATTGACACTCCGCCTGTTGACCTGAGAAATGATAACGAAGTAAGTAAGACCCCCTGCGAGTGATAAGAACGTCCCTAATGATTCCTCGTGTTGTTCAAAGCATTAACCATAATATTGTAAATAAAACCGCAATGTATATCTAAATGTCGTCATGCTTAACAGTAAACATAAGCCTATACATTTAATAGTGTTTACATAACTAATTGAGGTGGACACTTGTCAGGGTCATATATTGATAAAACTGAAACAACATCCTGTAAAACAATTTCAATAGACATTATATGATTATATAAGTTTTTCTTCCATACTTCTCTATAACCAAAGAGAAGAGCCGTTGTTAAAATGTCCAATGAACTATTGCAAGTAATTGCTTATTTTGTTCAAATATAAATTAATAATATCTACAGTAAAGCAAATAAATTAAATCAATATAAGTAAGTAATTATTTGTTACAATGTTTATAAAGGTTTGTTTATGATTATCCACATTTTGGGGATATTTAATATTTTCTAATATATAGTAGGTACATATTTGTTTTTTAAAATGTTGGTAAAGAATTCATGAGTATTCTTACATTGTAATTATATATCTGATTAAATTTAAATTTATTTAAAAGTATTACAATTTATCATACTGTCTTAGCAATCATATATATTTATTGAATCATACAAAGAATTGTTTTTATATAAGTATTCATGTACTTTATTGTTGGTAAATGTATCTTTTACAAATAAATAACTTCAAATATATATGTGTTTTAAATTATATGAACATTTAATATAAATTTAGTTAAACAAATATAGAACAACAAGAAAATATATTCCAGTACAACAAAAATTTTACTGCTTTACTTTCGGTTAAATAATAGTATAATATTTATATGAATATAAATATGCAATATAAAGTGCAATAATTGTGAACTAATAATAATTAACTGTATTTTAAGTTGATTAAAGAATTATATTGTTGGACTGTAAATATATGAACAGAAAGCCAGCCAATAACCGAGTATAGCTATCCATTACCCCCTAGTCGGTGTAATATCAGCTGTTATCTGTAAGGTCAATGTGACCTTAGACCTCACTCACCCACTCTTGTCTACATACGATAAGACCTCCTATAAATTAACCATCTATAACCCCTTTTTCTTTACATTGGCCACCAGTCCGTGATTACGCATTGTACGAAAACCACGTATCGTTATAAACATTGTGTTTAAATTCGTTGTTAAATTTTATACATCATATAATTCTCTCTCATGGCTAAATTCGTAAATTACTGTGATTTTCTATCTCCATACTAGTTCAGTTTGTGTTTATTGGACGTTACCTTCCATTTTAAGAAGCTGGAAGGATATTATTGTTTAAGATTAATTCCGGGGTCAGCATACATGCATCAATTTTCATTAAATCTGCTCCAAAAAATGACAATAACTTTAATGTACCGAGTCAACCCTATTTACTATTCGGACTATTCGGATACGATCTAGATTTTCAACTGAAAGTATTTCAGTTAAAACATATTTGTTGCCATTGGCTTTATAATTTCGAGTACTACAAATTCGGAGTATATCCAAAGGATATTACCTGACGGCTATATTGAATTATCCAGAGAGGAATTTATATTAAGAAAATGGACATCGTTGCAAACGTAAGTCTCTTAACAATGGCCTAAGATATTATATTAACTAAATTTCCTTATTAATGCAAATCATATTAACCATAAATCAAAGAATCATAAAAACTTATCGAGATAATATAACACGATACTCGTGTAGGTCAGAGGGTATCTTTGAATTATTCAACAAACGCAGCTTGTGTATCATTTTGTTTTAGCAGATAATGGCGTAGTTTCCGCAGGTTACATGATTAATTAAGTTTTGATATTAATCGTTATAAAATTTTAAAGGTTTATTGTTTTTTTTCGCAGTATCACCCGGTCTTCAAAGCGTTTTTGGCGGGATCCTTTTCAGGAACTTTCAGCACAATCCTCTTCCAACCATTGGATTTAGTCAAGACCAGACTACAAAACCCCAGCCAACATGTTGTGGCGGCGACGGTCAAGTAAGTATAATTAAAGATAAGGTTATTTGTTCCCTAGCAACTGTGTGAACTTCGCTCTATTTCTAAACTCCGTAACTGTAACGATAAGGATATTAGGAAGTCGAAAGACTTCAAAAGATTCAAATAGGCAGCTGATTAGAAGAATATTTCTATTGCGAAATTTCATATGTAAAATTGTCTTTCAGCAGCCGAATCCAACCCGGCATGATCACAATCTTCGTGAACATCGTACGTCAGGAACAAATAGTTGGTCTTTGGAAAGGAATGGTCCCTTCGATCGCGCGATGCGTACCGGGTGTTGGGTTGTACTTCTCATCCCTTCACTGGCTGAAGTCTAAACTAGGAAAGACTAAACAGGACTTAGGCGCTATGGAAGCGGTTGGATTGGGAGTTGTGGCTAGGACTATGAGCGGCGTCGCTTTAATACCTATGACAGTTATCAAAACAAGGTAAATATGAGTAAGATTTTCACAATTTAGGCGTTAAATTATCACGTTTCCTCAAGAACACTTTCTAAAAGATACTTTTTTTAGATACGAATCTGGAGTATACAAATACAGTGGTCTCCGGAGCGCCTTGAAATCTATTTACAAAGCAGAAGGAATCAGAGGATTATCGTGTGGACTTGGACCAACTCTGGCTAGAGATGCGCCATTTTCTGGACTATATCTTATGTTCTACACACAAACTAAACAAGCCATGCCTAAAGGTAACTAATAAAACCTTATAGTAAGATAATTATAGAAGCTTACGTTCAAAAGGCCCAAGATATTGAAAAAATGTTCGTACGGTCATGAACACTAACAAAATTGCTTATTATTCATCTATTTATCAAACAATAAACACTATTATTTCGTCTTTTCTTCGCCAGAATGGATGTCGACCCCAGCAGCGGCGTCAATGATACATTTTTCATGTGGCATCGTAGCTGGTATAGCGGCTTCACTCGCCACTAACCCGGCCGATGTCCTCAAGACCAAAATGCAGTTATACCCAGACAAGTTTCCAAACGCTTTCAGCGCAGCCATGTATATCAATCAGGTTGGTTACTTTTTTCTGTTTATTAAAGTATAAATGTTTATGATATTGTAATTTATTATCATAGGGCTGAAACCCAATAAAATATTCACAAATAGAAACACTGATTATGACTTTTAGAGGCCTTAGTTGAGTTTGTGCAACAATAATTTTAAGCTTTTACTTAGCGAAAGAGATATAATGTTTTCTCTCGCAATAATAGCCATATAAAATAATATTCTAATTAGACAAATCAAATTATACAAAAATTATTTCCCTGGCTGGAGAAACAAGATGTCATAAAAATCGATGCATGACCCATAAAGCATAGACAATATAACAATATCAACATATAAAACTCATAAATAGGTGTATGAGAAATAAATTCTAAACTCTATTCTAAAAAGTAACCATTTATTATAGTCAATTTGATTAAATTCGTTGTGGCTCATTAATTGTTTAATCTTTGTCAATTTACCAAAAAATCAAATATTTCACCTGACTAAAGTTCAAATGTTAATTAAGATACATTATCTCATTTTTTAATAACCTTCTAGATTGTTCATTTTTTGCCAGCCAATTAAATTTTAACGCCGACAATTTCAAAAGCACGTGCCAATAAAATGATATTCGCATGGCTCATTAGTCATTTATTATCAAAACATTGTCTATGGGAGGTTATCTATTTTTGATAGTTCAATTATTATCTGTATACACGGATTTCAAAAAACGGGTGAATACCTTTATAATTGTTTATAAAATTATTTACAACGGGCAACTTAAGTATTTATTAGTGTTGCCGTCTGTCATGAAATATATTAAATTTAAAAGCTTATAAATATTCCCCAAAATTGGTAATTTGAGCTTATTATTGAATAAGAACCGTAGCGCTAAAAAAGAAGGAATATAATTGCAATAAAAGTCTAAATTCGATTTGATTAATTTACGAAAAATCTATTTCAAACAAGTTGACCACAAAAACCGACTAGATCTAGATGCACTTAATAATGTTTTCCTCTTGTATAGAAAATGTTTAATCAACTTAATCCACTACTAAATACATTATTATATATTTAATTACAGAATTATGGAATAAAAGGTTACTTCAAGGGAGCTGTGCCACGAATGCTTCGCAGAACTCTAATGGCAGCCATGGCATGGACGGTGTTCGAACAAATAACTCGATCTATTGGCTTGAAATGAGCACATTATTTTAGACTTTATTGTCTAGTAATTTAAACTATTTTATTATTTCACACATATTCAAATGTTTATACAATTTATATTTCCTTTTAATTATATTATATTTCTTGTAATTTTTAAGTTTTGTTATCCTTGGTTTTGTGTTCCTCTATATTTTATTCTTAGTTAATATTTATAGTTTTTGATTGTTTTATTTGCCAAAAGGTTGAGTTAGTTTAGGAGTTTAAGATATACGGTTATAATGCTATATAATAGTTGATTAGGAAACAATGTGATATTGTTTATAAATAAATGTTTATATATTTTCATATTGTTGCTTATTTTGACTATCAATAAGAAACTTGTTGAAGTTAATATATAGAATATTTTTAAATGAAACAAAATCTTTATAACAAGTTGTAATTTACATATGTACACATTTACAAAACAACAATAAACATTGTTAATCTTTCTTAATAAAAATGTGTCATCTGTCTTGTGTTGAAATCAAACAGAAAATGTTCTTACTATTATAATATAAAAGTTATCAAAACATTGGTGTTATTTTCTACGATTGCAATGTATCAAATGCTTGCACAGCCAAATTTTTTGAATAAAACTATGTTCTTGCTTCAAAAAATACATTATATGAAAATTAATGTTAGTCCTACTAATTAAAGTCCATTTTTACTTGTCAATTACACTTATATAAGCTGTTACTGTGTTAATATTGAAAATCATATGAATTCAAATCCTTCATATTTAAGATTTTCCACAAGAGTATCTTTAAGTAAAACTGTACCGTCCGTCGTGAAGGCTGTAATGTATGTGGCCGTTTTCCCTTCGTATTCCGTTGTCTTTAAAGCAACGATTGCTTCATCGTTTGATCCAGGTATGAACTTGAATGATGAGAAGCCATGCTTCGGTTGGTGCTTTGTAATCTGGAAGTAACATTATTACTTATTTTATTAATTATGAATGATATATGAAGAATCCCTTCAGACCGAAAGGGGCCGTTCAAGTATTATGTAAGCACTATGGAGGCGCGGGGAGGTCTTTTGGTTTGATTATTTTGGATGACATGGGGGGTAGGGGAGTCTAGGTATTGATTACGTCATCGGTAGTTATTTACTTTTTAATCGTCACATCGAGAAGATCAATAAAAAAATATAATTATATTTTTTTTCTGGATTTATATGAAAAAAAAAATACAGTAATTGAAAATGTTTACGTAAGCATGGGGGGAGGGGTTGAGAGCTTTGCTTACTTTTGCTGACAAGGGGGATGGGGGAGTAAATAATTGTAATAAATCTGCTTACGTAATACTTGAATGGCCCCAAACTGTTTATATAAGGAATCAATTTTGCTCTTAATACTGTAGTAATAACATAAAACAATAGGAAAAATGTGTTAATTAACAATACTGGGATACTCAATGTTAATTAACATGTCATTGCCAATTAGTGGTAAAAATAGTATGGTATATGGTATATATACAGGGTGACTGGTGAATTACTATCAATATTTAAGGAGAATACTCGGTACATGATTCTCATTCGAATTATGTAAAAAAAATAGGTACTTAATTTTTGACAAAATTTCCGTATAAATAAATAAAGTGTTGACACGTTCCAAGTGTTCCAAGTGTGAACGCGTGCGGCGGCGTGCTGATACAAAACCACGCCCCCGCCGCGTATGTGTGAGTGTGTGTGTATACCTAATCTGTAGGGTGTTCACACGATGCGTAATTAATTACATAACTTTTGGTTAACTTTACTTAGAAGTTTATTAATATTTATGTTATATTAATTTTTATTTTGTCATATATGATCGTCAACTACCACGTCCTCAAATATCGATAGTAATTCACCAGTCACCCTGTATATGGTATTCTACTTAATGCTATTAATAACAAAACCTATTTATAACTCAAAATTAATATTCAAATATTATGCCATCATATGTAATATAATATAGGAATGTAAATAAAGAATTAAAATCTTCTACCTTTATAGCTTTAACTTGACTGAAATCATCATTTGCAGTAATAAGGTAATTGCAGCCCATAACTTCATCCCTGGTTTCATTATAGGCTTCGTGGCTGCACCTTCTCGGTAGGAAATGCCATTTTTTTTGAATGGCTGACCACACTCCTGACTCGTGTATCATATAACCCGGCCATTTAATGCCAATAGAGAGCCTTATGGCTTTGAAATGATTAACCCAGCTCAAATGTTGTACCTGAAATTAATGTAATGATTATATAACATATATAAATTCTCTTGCTTTCTTATTAAACATAATTTTAAAATTATCTTAAAACATAAAGAAGCAACATTCTTTGTAAATTGTTCTATTATATTAAAATTTGCTCATAGTATTTTCCAAATGGCACCTGACAGAATGTAATATATAATAGTTTTTTTAGTAGGAGTTTAAAAAAAACATAATACATTATTGAAATTTTTGAAGGTGTTAAGTACATGAAGGACATTAATATGTATCTTATCATTTGATAATTCCTAATACAAAAAGCTTGTATACTTAATCACTTATCAATGTTACTCCATTGAATTCTGACATTAATAAATACTTTATGAGTGTCTATACACATTAAAGGCCAGTTTGTTGAGATTTTTGAGAAGATAATCATATGTGGAAAAAATAGTCATGTTACTGGCTATATACACTTGATAAACCAGATTTAAAAAATAGTAATTTTACGAAAAATATTACCTCTCCTCGCAAGTTTATAGCCTTCACCCACATAGGATCATAGCTCTGAAACTCTCCACTGGCTGTCGTCCATTCTTTGCCCATAGAGCCAACATATAGTATTTCATCTTTAACTGTCGCCCACTCAGATTTGTAACCTTTCTCGTTTTGACCATTCCCATCTGATAGTATCACCCATGGCACCATTTTGTTGTTTAGGATTTCAAAAACCTGAAAGTTATTTTTTACAAAGTAATCAGTAAACATTATTATCAGTATACTAGTTTTAGTCATGTTTAATACATGGATGGATTTGAACATGTGTTAAAATATGGTACAAATCAGTTATTTTATTGATGTATTACAAAGAAAAAGAAGAAAATTTTATATAGATAAACATTGATTTTTTATAATAACTATGTGTAATTTAGTGAAATATTATGAATGCATTGATTTCAAATTCCTTACCATTCCAGATCGATCATCAAAAGTCAATAATCTGCCGTCATATACAATCAATTCAGATAACTCCATGCCTCTTCCTTTATGTGAGTAAGTCGAAGACAGCAATATTGCATTGTCCCACTTCACCGTCACATATTTCTTTACAGGATCAAAGCTTAAGTAACCCTTCTTAAAATAACTATTGTATGTGTTAGGCTTAGAACTACTTTTAGAATTTGTGTCTAAGTCAGAAACTATACCTATTCTGAAAGTATACTCATCACCAGTTTGGTAAGCCGGTGTTAAAGGGTATGTTGTATTGTAAATTCGAGAGCTTTGCGTCCAAATATGTATTGATCGTGGACTTGTACACCAATTATAGTAGAATAGAATTAATAGGAAAAAACCCAGCAGCATAATCAAAAACATGAATTGGGGTTGTATCCTCACTGCGTTTCCAACTCTGTACGTAGCCGGAGTCCGCAGCGCCTTGCGCCAGTCTCTAAGCGTGCCTTTCATTTTGTGATCTTCTAATTCGTAATAATCATACATACCGCACCTTTTTAGTTCATAATTTCTTTCAACTCTGAACTTTAGAAACCTCACTTGTGGGTATAGTATTTATGACCGATTGAGTTTGTTTTGACAATTAGCGCGGAATAAATTAAATAAACTATTGTAAAACGTTCTATGCATTTTGAGGTACTCTTTTACATATTGTAATATTTTTTTAATTTAAGATTCCGTATCAGCTGTATTTTTGACACATAGTTTAATGTCGACAGTCGTGACACTGGACATATCATTTTGCCAACATGATAATCTGACTCCTTATGAAGATGAAAAATAATGTAGCCAAATATGGATTTACCCAACTCTTTCTATAAATTATATATTTCTTTATTAAATGTAATTTCTTCTTTCAATTATATTTTGAAAAAAAAAAGTTGAAGATTTAAATATATTTTATGCAAATTAAAATAGTACGGATATTTATATATTAAAGTAGCCTAGACATTGATCGTTTGTAAACAAAAACTATTCTGAAAGTGACCACATAAAAATACCTTTTGCACGGATGAAGGCTATATTTTAAACAACCAACCAACCACATAAAAATCCGTACATTATAAAATAAATATTTTTGTTAAAAACTCATTAAGTTGGTGACGCTGAGCCACATTGACATTGAACGACACATCAACATTCGACAGCGTTATTTATTAAATGAACCATAGACAAACAAGCACATAAGCTAAGTAATAGATGTTTAGCTATTTTATATTATCTAGTAAACCTGGCGAACTCAGTTTCGCCACCAGAAGGCTTTTATATAACATTTCGTTTGGTGATTAAAAGATGAAGATTTTTTTTTTGTTTTATATTTGAAAAGGAAAAATTTTATTTCATTTCACAACAATAATGAAATCATTTCGATTACAAAAATGAAGTGTTATTTAGTTGAACTTCTCTAAGTAAAGAAAATGAATCTAAAGTAGATACCGAATCGAAGCGTTATAGGTGTCTGCAAATTATCCGTTTAATGGAAGTGGTCCTTTGTAAACCACATTTTTTGTTTTTTGGTCTAACTTTAACACAAATAAAGCGGATGGTTTCTAAACTCGTGAACACGCAAAATATAACGCCCATGTGAAAAACAATGTCATTACATATCTGTCATTATACGTCAATTGCATAGCTGTCAATTGTGTTTCGTTATTCCACGTTTTATAGTGACTGACGTTTCATGTCAAGTCCCACGGGAATGCTGTCGAACGGGATAAAAATATCCTATTGCAATTTCCTGGCTCTAAACTACCTCCCTGCCAATTTTCAGCTAAATCGGTTCAGCCGTTCTTGAGTTATAAGTGGAGTAACTAACACGACTTTCTTTTATATATATAGATAGACTAGAAGGCCCGGCGAACTTCGAACGCCCTATAATCAAGAAGTATCTGTTACGTTTTTTTATTTATATTTTTGGAATTTACCTATTAAAGCCATAAATCTCTGTGTTTTGAAGTGCGACAGAATGATTGACATATTAGTTAGTTGTCAAATCTAATGTAAAAAAAACGTTTGTATCAACAACTACTAATAAATTAAAAATTAATTTAAAAAAACATTGTCCAGCAGACGAAATTGTGAATTTAAACAATTCCCAGATCCCTTTGAACGTACACAAAAAATTTCATCAAAATCCTCATGAAAAAACTTAGTTAATAATCTTAAAAAAACATACATCCAAAGAAGGAGACAATAATTTATTTAATCGTTTCAGAATATTCTCTTGTTGCTTTTAAAATATGAACATCGAACTATATAATCAACAAACATTTATTAATTACCTAACTTACATTAAGGGTTAAAGAGTCGGTTTGAAGGGTTTCTAATTTTTATAATTGAGTTATAAAATGATATATTGTGAACTGTATTCACAAGACGTTACGAAAGGACAAGGAAATAACAGTGAACGTAAAAAATATATTGGTGGTTCATTTGATTTATAAAAGCGAAATTATTTATGACGTTTTAGTGGCTTGTGGCGTTTATATTATTAATAAGAATTGCAGAAGAAAATATGAGGATTAAGGATAAAGAACCATTTTACGATATTTTCCCAAAAAAAATTGCAACAAATTATATACTTCTATTTTGCCATCATTAATAATATACCTAAGGATGGGGTTAATGTATACTGCATTAAAGTATTGAGTATTAAAAGAATAACGACATTAATGACAGAGATCTCTTGTTGATGCGTTGTTTTTTTTCTTGGAGAATATTTTTTATAGAAAATAACACTAGTATTTGATTTAATTTCTACAAGTATAAAACATTCTAAGTCAGGATGCGATATTTTTAATATTAAATACTTAAGAACTCATTAAGAACATATTTTAAAGAGCGGAAAAACTATGCAAGCATGGTATTAAATTAAAAGCTTAAGTGTAATTTAAATAAGTGTCAGAAAAATAAAATATTGTTACTCTACCAATAAAATTTGTCAAACCGCAGTTTAAAAAACTAAAAAGCAATCAGCAATGGATATATTTGGAGAAACTAAAAATTAGATATTATAACACTAAAATACTTTCTTTTCAGACTATTTTTTCTTTCTTCAATAGGTATATGGAATATTTTTCTTTTGAAAGTAACTTTTTCGGTTACTTTTACTGAAGTGATCATTTGAGAACTGTCTGCCTGATGAAATGACAGAAAACTGGCCGATAACTTATAAAAATCGTACAAAATATATATAAAAATCAGAAAAAACATGATTTAAACGTGTTCGCTCGAAATCTTAGACATCATTATAATGGAAGTAAAAAAATAAAATAAAACAATAAGTTAGAGATAATTTTTTTTAACTAGTTCGATTTATTGTGACATATGGCACAAAATTTTCATACAACGTTTTTCGAATGCAATAACCCCCCCTTAACACTTGACATTCAATGACATCAATCATTGTGAAAATTTCAAAATAAAAGTATTATAAGTATTTTTATTATTAAGTTAATAATCATCACAAGAAAATTAGTTTACAACTTCTAACATTTCATAGCTTATATTGCATGTGGATTTTAAATTCATTTTCTACTTTTTTCCGGGATACTGTAAATAAATTGATAAGTAAGGAATATTCAATAAAATAAAGCTACTAAAACTATGCAAACTAAAAATACAAATAAAAGTATGATTAATAAAATGAATTGAATGCTGAATAGCAATATATTTTACTACCAATCTTATTCATATACAAAATTTTCTTCAATGTCGCAAAAGATTTTATACGCTTACCACAATTTCTCATTAACATCGCCACTAAAAACGGAACGTTAAAAGTTTTTTCATTCATAAATCTTCTCACGATAGTATGAATGAGAACACTTAACGCGTTGCTAGTAATGTCTTGAATTTGTTATATATGAACTTATTACGATATATGTAATCATAGATTTAAATAATACTTTCAATTGTTAATAGTAAAAATAAAAAACATAGAATGTACAGCTCAGAAAGTTAATCATATAATAGAGTTATAATATTGACAGTGACAGCTGAACTGTTCTTTATTACACAGACAGTGACGGCTGAAGTCTGAACTATTATTTATTATTAATGCCATTAGGTAGAAACCTAATTGAATATCGTAAAAGACAATCACTGTAACCACTAACCATCGTTACGTAACATTACAACAATACTTATCTCGGTAAATTTTATTGACGGTTTGCTTTCACTGTAATATATTTTAAAAGTGATTGCTCCTACCTACATCCTGTAAAAAAATTTAATTGAAACGAAATTAACCTTCACGATTCTTAAACTAATTTGTTGTGTTTTATTTTTACTGTTTGTCGGTTCATGTATAATTAATTATTCGCACACTCTCTCTTGCATCATATAGTTTTAATAACTCAATGCATGCATGTGTATGTTAAAGTATATGTATACGTATTAATATTATATGTGTGAAAGTTTATATGTTTGATGTTTTAAATCGGCTGAATAGTTTCAGATTCAATTAAGCAACACAGATAATAATTAATTGACAGCTATAAATATCTATTACTTCCATAAACGTGTTTGACAAATAAGTTTGATGAAATTAAACAAACTGTGTGCATTAATACGTGATGGTGTATAAAACAATGATTTAATAGTCTAATCACCATAAACATCATTTGGTATTAATTGTTTAAATATGATGAATCATAATAAATTTCTAATATTAAACGTCGTACCTCAAAAGTATCGATCCTTGAACAAAATATAATATCTCAATGGTTACAAAAAAAAGAAGAAATTTTTGACAATACCAAAGAATGACATAAAATTTGAAAGAAATATATATAAATAATACATTATGTTCGGCATATTCACAAACGTACTTTGGTATTTGGAATTCGTTGCGTTCGCCATCACATTAATAGGATTTTTCTGTTTCATTTTGTACTTGGCTAAAATTAATTACACTACATACAACATACAATATGATTTTCGTCTCAAGTACGTATAAATAATTATTACAATATACATTTCTCTTTGACTCCCAGTATGTTTTAGATGTTTGAATGATGAGTAACTATGTACTTTTGTTTGGAGGTATTTGTTTTAGTATAATTTAATTATATATTGGAATACTTCATTATGTTTCAAGGAATCTGTTTATAATAATCTTTATAAAAAATACTCCTTTGTCTTTTTTTAAAGTATTCTTTATGAGGATGAATAAAGTAATTATTTTATTTTTCCAGACACATGGCCGACGACACATGGTTGATACAAAGCTAATGGAGGGAGATATGAAACAACATAAAATTATGATTTTGTATGTTTCTTAACTATTTACTAGAAAAAATTAATGATGATTAATTTTTATTCTAAATATTAATACGTTTTAGCCGCCAAGATGTCACGCCTAAGCCTCTAGTAAAGACGTGCTCGCCAAAGCAAAGGCCTATTTGTTTAGATCCAGACTGCGTATGGTTCTGTCGTTTGGTTGGCAGCATTGTCACAATCGCTTTATGCTACGCATGCGCGTA